TCTTGTGTACATATGCCATTGTTAGTGCAATGTACAAACAAATCAACCTTGGCTTCTTTTATTCTTCTATCTGAATTTGGGGAAAGTGATGGGGTGTGAAACAGGGTATGTGAGCGCATGGGTAATCTTCATGTCAACAAATACTTCCCGTTTATTAACACATATGTCTTTGTCAGGGCTCTTTCCCCTAGTGCTCTTGGTAACAAATAATTATTACCCAAGATACGGCACCCAGAATGGGGTTGCGACTCTTTCTGCATTCACATCCTTTTCTAATAAGAGTTTCTGAGACTATTGGTGCGTCACCCTTGAACTCTGAGGACTCCACCATTATTAGTGTGAAGAGCCTACCATAGAATTAATACTTGAAACTCTTTCCAACCTGAGTCTTCCCTCGCAGACACACTCTGTCGTGTTTTCAATATCTTGCCTGTCAGAAAATAAACCTGCCATAAACCACGCCTGGCTGACTATAGGGTAATTTACGTTGCCATAAACATGGATTTTCCATTCTGTACGTCTTTTCCCCTTAGATCAAGAACAAATCTACAAACAAATAAAGTAAAGCTGCCAGAAAGCCTTCCCGTTCACTTCCCTTATCGTTTATTAATTGCCTACACCCTTCGGAAAGAAACTTGTATCTGTTCAATAATTAAGGGCGTGCAATCACGCGTTCTGCGGCAGCCTCTGTGAATACAGCCTTACAAGGCGCGAGGTAATGGAGCGGGGAGCACCTTGCAGGAGGAACAGGAGGCCGGCTTGACAGACACCACTGCATGTGTCCAAACCTTGCAGAGGTTTAACCAAGTTTGGTGCTGAGGAAAGTTTGGGGGTGTCTTGTTGACTGTTTTGCTAAAAAGGAATCTAATGTGTGTGTGGGAGGGGGAGGATCTACTTTAGCTTTCCTTTACTAACAGGTTTTAAGGACTTGTTGAGGCAAGCTTTAATTGTTTTCTCATGTTTATTGTTCCCCAGAAGGTTTGTATGTTATAAAATATTGTTCTCTTTTCCCCTAAATATCAATAAGATTTGCATTAAAGGCGATTGACTATAAATGGTGCTGGTGCTCATTAGCATATATTTACATAATACAACTACCAACAAAATATTTAAAGCACACATTAAAGGCCAAGACAGATGTATATTTTAAGTAGAATATTTTAAAAAATACTTTAAAGAATACTTTTCTTTGGCTTTTATAAACGGCCTTCTGGGCATTTATTTGAAATATTTATATTGGACAAGAGATTCATCCATTCAGGAGCGTTTAAAGGGACTTTCGGGTTTCTAAAACTCTCTGGAGATGGAGCTGTGCCTATTTATGTACATATGTATTTGTGTATACTCACGTAGACATGCTGTGTTTGAGTGATCTTCTGTGTACTCTCACACACATACATAAATAAATACAATATAAATCTTTACGACAATTTAGGCCTGATATTAAATCATGTTAGTAGTCATAGATAGTCATTTGACTGGTTTGAATTAATATTTTTTTAAATTCCAGCGTCTAAAATCAAAGTACCCGAGTAATTGCCTACATATTCCATGGTTTATGTTTACTCAGAGATTGACGAGTTTTCATGAGATTATTTAAACCTCATTCGTTTATCTTTTTTTCTATCGTTTAACCATAAAATATTTTCTTTATTTTACAGTCACCATAAAATGAAATTGATCAGAGGGATATATTTGAATTAAGACATATTAAATCGATGACAGATACATATCATGCTGTGTTTAACAAGAGTTGTACAAGGAGGCGTGTACAAGATACCGCATAGCTGCGATACTATTATTCACGTTTACAGCTTCTCCTCCATGCATTCACCCATTAAACCATTAAATCTCAAGTAATTCAATAAAACGCAGTGCTTAGAATTTTGGTAAAAAGCTATTTTGAAGAGAAAGAGTTTTATTGCACAATAAAAACATCAAGCAGACCATTTTAAAAGCAAGGGATTGTTTATTTTTGTTCTTTTCTTTTAACCCGACTAAAATCCCAGAAGATCTTCATACAGTGCTGACGCTTTCTAGAGGGGGGTTCCAACACTTTTTGCAGGTATTCCTGTGTGACACAAAGCTACAATACCGTGTGATGCGCAAACCCCAGTCTGATTTAAGGAAATGTAAAGTGAACTGTTGTTTCTAAAGAGATTATGGTCCAAATTCTGCTTCCTTACCCAACCTTAAGCTGGAATGGCAGGCTTTTCTTAAACACATGTACAAACTAACAGACAAACTAACCCGAATTACTCCTTAATAGATAACATTTTTGTCAGTTGGGTTGGATACTGATCTAGGATGACACAGTTTTCACATTGATTCTCAGTTCAGGTTTTCTCTCGTCCTGTTAAAAAGGGGAGTTTCTTATTTATACATATAGAGAAAATTGAAGTTTCCGTGCAGTGTTTTCGTTTATTTTATTTCTGGGTCTAATGATTATTTCTTTCCACTTAGCTTCCCACTAGAGAAAGCAAATTATACTCGGTACAGAATGTACACCAAATTTAGCACAGATTATAACAATAATAATAGTTCTTACTAGTTTATATGTCGCTGCTGCAGAAGACGGTAAACTTGTTTTATTTGGTTTGCAGAAGAATTTAGCATTCTTGTAGCACACAAAGATAGGAACATCAACCTTTCCTGTTCAAAGGATAGACTTATCACTTTTATAAATGACTAAGAAAAAGTTAACAGATATCCAAGAAGCGAATTATGTCTCAACTTCGCTTAATTTTCGAGGATTTGTTTACAGTGTTCTCCATCTCGGTCAAATTACGCAAAAGACATCTGAACAACACAACGTTTCAGCCAAAAGGAAACTTTCAGTATTTTCTTCGACTGTTGTGCACCTGTTTATAAAAATCGATAAGACTCTTCCCTTCAGAATATTTCACAGATTGTCCACAGAACCAAGTTCAGAAGGTCTGAGGCTTTTAAATGTTAAGAACCAGCATCATGGAATTTATCTATTCTGTCTAACTTTAATGCTCTAAAAGAAAAAAGAAACCTTAAGACCCATCTTTATTTTTTATCTAGTGACCTCATCAGCTATTTTTATTGAAACGGTGAGAAATGATGGAGCGATTTAGAGGGGGTGTTTTTATATAAAATATGCTGTTCGTGGGTCCTTTTTAGTGCTATATGTAAGGGAAAATGGGTCTCGCATCCTCTTGTATCATTCCGGTCACCTTACCTGAGACAAACAGAGCAGTTATTTTGCCCGATGGTCTGTGAATAGCAAGCGTTCTAAATCTCTGTATAAAGCTTGACAATACACGTTGGGCAGACCCTTCCAAAACTGGTATGTGCAACGTGCCTGCTACTTTATTTGTAACGAAAGAAGTAAGTTTTAAGATACGCTGCTTCTGCAGTTATTGTCTCAAATAATGTGCTTTGTTCTGTAATCAGTCTTAAAGAGTGTAAATTTTGTCTTCCAGTGCTGCATCAAGACATTATTTCCCCATAATTTAACAATCTCATGGCTTGGCTTCTTTAAACAGCTGCCTGCATAACTTGTTCCAATTGGCAGAGTTGTTCTGAACAGAAGAACAGAAGAGTAAAAATGCCTGCAGCCTGAAAATAAACACAGAAGCACATTGCTGATGAAGCAGAATGAGCCATAAGGGGGTGTGTGTGTGTGTGGGTTGTTGTTGGTTTTTTTTTTTTTTTTAAGTTGTAAAAATCTTTTTCCTGGAATGGCTGGGAAGCCCAGCGTCCCGTGACTGAGTAAGTGTGTGAGAGAGCGTGTTTGATCCCGGGGCCTGATTACTACGAGGCGAGTAACCGGCATGAGTCGCTCGGCTTTGGCACGCCGGCTGGCACTCGCCGGTTCAGCGCGAACTTTCGGCCAGCCCAACTTTGGGAAAGCAAGCAGAGGGGGCTCGCGCGTAAGGGCGGGTCCCCGCTGAGCCGCCGGCCTGAAAGGGAGCCAATCGCGCTGCCCTGGCCTCTGCCAATCACTCGGCTCCCTCCAATCCCACCCGTGCCATTTCCAAACTCTGGTTCCCACTGTGCCGCTGAAATGTGGTGAGCGCTCTGCCAATCGCTGGAGGACAGAGTGGGGAAAGGAATAAGCGGAGTTCGGAGCCGGAGACAAAAGAAGTTAAAGAGCCGCTTAATATATACATGTTTTTGAAGGCGGGCAGAGGGAAAAAAATAACAACAGTGAGTGTAGATGGGCTGGCGTGTGTAGTTATGGAGCCCCCTTTGAGCAAGAGGAACCCGACACTGAGATTAGCGGATTTGGCAGCGGGTCAGC